TATATATATAGCGTATTTTTTAAATGATAGATATAAAAGTATCTCATAATCCTTCATATATCTATACCATGTAATAAAACAACGTGATTCTAATTAATTTACTTTCGTATACAACTGAAGATCGGATATTTGTTACTGGCATTACAGAACTTGTTGCGCATTACTGGTAAATGTTACAGGTAACGTATCCTGTAACTTTGCTTTACAGGTAGTACCTACTCAGCAACGATAGAGAGAGGGAATCCCACGTTTCTCAGGTGCAAAGCTTGTGGTTTACAGGTGATGTGGCTGACAGTGTGCACTGCAGTAGTGGGTTACGTCCCCGAGGGTAGCTTCAAGCGGTGGCTGAACTACAAAGTCTCCCTAATGTGCTTTGCTGTCTTATCCAGTGCTCTATCTTCAGTCATCACATACAACAACCCAGAGAATCGACCTGTCAGAGGCATATGTGTTGCTAATCACACGTCTCCCATTGATGTACTCGTACTCATGTGTGATAATTGTTATTCCTTGGTATGTTATTCTTCGATTATGAATATCACACCATTTAGAATTGCTTTTTGGCACATGTACAATGTCCTTTTTTGCTTTGTTTGTGGTTTGGTTGTGTAACATTCTTAGAAGGATGTTATTTCGTAGCTGCGAAAGCATGCTCGCGTATCTCGTTACTTTATAATTCCATTGCCTTGTTATTTAGTGTCGTATAGTGTTAAAATGTTTTAGAAATTGTATATTCCTTGATGACTATAAATTCGTTGAGACGTTTGATTTCCTTAGTGAAAATTTAATGAAAAGCCAACATTTATTATAATGTATGATATATGATATTAGACATACAAAAACTAAATTTTAAATGAAATTAAATATTAAGTTCCGTTTCGAATTTTTAAAAAGCAAGATGTTTTATTTTTCTATATTTTTAAGTAGTTATAATTAATTAAATTATTGATATAATTCTTAATGCATTATTAATGCAGACTTCAATATCTGTAATTCAAAGGCAGTGTACAGTTTCTGAAAGGCAGTATGGAATTTTAAATATAGATCAACTCACCTTATTTACATTTCTTATTACAGATAGGTCAGAGACATGGTGGTTTCTTAGGAATATTACAAAGAGCTCTCGCTCGTGCCTCTCCACATATATGGTTTGAACGCTCTGAAGTCAAAGACAGAGAAGCAGTTGCAAAGAGGTGCAACCATTTAAGCACTATTATACATTTTCTTGTCATATTTTATATCACAATATGCATAATATAGTTGTTAATATGTTATAATTATGTTTTGCGCAGATTAAAGAAGCATGTATCAGATCCCACAAATCCACCAATACTCATCTTTCCAGAGGGTACATGTATCAACAATACATCAGTTATGCAATTTAAAAAGGGCAGTTTTGAAGTGGACAGCGTTATTTATCCTGTGGCCATAAAAGTAATTTCTTTTTTTAAATGCACAATGTTTCAAATATGTATCCATGATGTTTCATCAAAATTTTCACTCTTTATTTTTTAAATATATAGTACGATCCAAGATTTGGCGATGCATTTTGGAATAGCAGTCGATATTCGATGATACAATATTTGTATATGATGATGTCGAGCTGGGCGATAGTTTGCGATGTTTGGTATCTCCCTCCTATGTATAGAAAGGAGGGGGAGAGTGCCATCGATTTTGCGAATCGGGTGAAATCTGTGATAGCGCGGCAAGGTGGTCTCGTCGATCTGCAATGGTAATATTTGATATTAGTTTAAAAATACTTTACAAGAAATGGAAAATATATATATTTTCCATCTCCATCTATATATATATTCGATAAATAATTATATGCATATTTTTTTCATTAATGGCAGGGATGGTCAATTGAAGAGGATGAAGCCAAAGAAGGAATGGAGGGAAAAGCAGCAAGAGGAATTCAGTAAACGATTTAAAATTGAATAAACTCATTGTTTCTAGTCATTTTTAACACTTCATAATGCACATATTACATGATATTTGTTTGTTTAAACAAAATCATTTCATTTAATTGGCTCGGTAATCACACATTGTTTTTCTGCATCCATCATCATCATCATCATCATCACCAAGGAAATCTATGTTCCATTAGTTTGCATCAAGTTTTAGATGTAGATCTTCGCAGATATGACAGTTTGCACTTTCTTGGCAAATTTCTAAATGCGAATAGATTGACAGCTATAATTTTGACGCGCGCAAAGTAACGTTATATTGTGTACATTTATAATTATGTGAATGTAACTTTTTAATTTAATTTTTAGACAGTTATGCGATATGGCTTAGATGCGTTGACAGATTCAAATTTTCATTTAGTTAAGTTCTCAAGAAGTGCAAACATGATATTTGCTAGTTTTTAATGCTAATAAGGTTCAATGATTGCAAAAAGGCATTACGAATTATTTATATATATGAAATTTGTATTATGTTAAAGTGAGTGATACTTTCCTGCATGTATGAATGTATGTACAGCATCGAAAACCTTTTCGATTAATTCATACATACCTCGAAATTATTAGACAATTGAATTGCATAGTTATATATTAATGCATTTTCTCTTATCTACAAAAAAATTGTAGGGGAAAATATTAAAATATTTTCGGTTATAAAATATTTTTAACACAAAAAAATAAATATTTTTTTTCTGAAGGAGAATAGCAAATTACAATACTTCAGATATTAATTATTTTTCAGTAACACTATGCATTATGTTATTTTTCTATTAAAACTCCGAATAGCATTTCGATATAT